AAAAATTGGCTTAAAAAAGAAAAGGAAAAAATTTTCCAAGTGTTGCAAATACAATTGGTATTGCAAAGATACAGGGAAGGTCACAATTCTAGCATTTTCCTTTTGCAGAAAAACCTTGAAAGTCACGCCGTGCAGGATTTGAAGGAAAAAATTCCTCATCACAGCCACAGTGTTGAGGGATTCTCAGGTGACTTTTCTGGTTTGGGGGAATTGTGTTCTACTGCCAGTTACCTTTATTGAGTCTAAACAGCAACACCAAGGACAGCTTACCCCAGCAATGACATGGAGGGACACGAGGACAAGAGCCTGTTAGCATTCCTAGAACATCCAACCTATCAGGAAAAAAAAAACAGTAAAGAGAGAGAGAGAGAGAAAGAGAGAGAGGGGGGAAAAAACCCACACAGGGCCTGCACATTGCAGCTTAGCGCCATCTTGATGTCCTTGATGCGTGTCGATGGCATGGAGGCGGCTGGCACCAGAGCAGCCCAAGAGAAGGAATGAGAGGCCAATGGAGATTTATGTGAGGAGAGTGAGATGGACAAGGTAAAATTGTCAGGAGGAGTTGTTAGAAAGTAAAATATATTGTGACAATTCCACTCCTGCCGTTCATCAATAAACTGACAGATCATTTAGTGTCAATTAGGAGTGATAGATGGACAAGTCCCCATGATCCTGGGCCAAAATTAATGGCTGGGAGGGAGAGGGTGATTGAAAATGACGGCTGACATTGAGAGGAAAGTCCTGAAGGTCCCCAAGGGGCCATTACTTGCCTCATTCCCTTGCAGATCAATGCAGGGACAAACCCAAAAACAGACACTTCAAGACAAAACTTAATCAGTCTTCCTTTTCTACCTTCTCCTTCCAAGATGTGCCCCCTTACTTGGCAGCCTCAGTCCCTCGTGCCTCCACTCTCCACATCACTCAGGATATCCACAGATGGCTGCAAGATGCAGTGATGCTGCCATCTTCCCCCCAGCCAAGAGCCTGGATCTGCTCCTGACACGGCTGTGGCAGAGGGAAGCATGACCTGAGTTTTCTCAGCTCTGCCAGACTGGAAGTAGAGAGGAGAAGCAATGACACAAGCTTCCCCCTACAATGTAAGGTAGAAAAATTCATGAATGTTTTACTACTCCCACTTGTGAGACTGATATGGCCAGAGGTTCTATAAACTTGGCACTCTCAAGGGTCATGCCATACAGACACAGCACAAGATAGTTTAAGCACATTTTTTTAAAGCAGGAGTTTTTAACTTTACTTACTCTCCTGAGGCCTTGAATTATACAAACCCTTAATCTGTTAAATAACCTTCCTCCAGCCCCAGGGTACAATCTCACCTTTGCCCACCCTCCAGTGTCCTGACCTCTTCATTGGGGTTGGACTAGATGATCTCTAGAGGTTCCTTCCAACCTTAACCATTCTGTGTGACATCTACACAGAGGCAGGGCCACCACTGCTGTCCCAACTACATCTGCTTCCTTCCTATGGGTGCCCTTAATATTCACCATGCTTTCCTGCACACTGTACTGCCAGTTCTGCTCCAAAACACTCCAGCATGACCCTTCCACTAAACAAGCCCTGGTTACTCCATCTCTGTGAAACCTACCAGTCAGAGGAGCAGTTTCAATTATAGCTGGGGCACCTGTTGCTGAAATGCCACAATCCCTTCAGAACAGAGGATTCCCATGTGCAGGCAAATGGAAGGGACTTCCTAGTGAAAGCAGCACTTGCTTTTGCTTGCAGGGCCACCTGAAATGAGCTGTGTTTATTGCACATCATCCCCAGCTGCTGCCTGGAAAACACAACTTATTTTAAAGGGCTAATCACAGGGAGGTTACAAAACCAAAGGGAACACAGCCCCAAGTAAACTGAAGGTGACCCAAGAAGCAAAGAAATAAAGATACTAATGGGGAGAGAAATTGAAGACATTCTTTAAGGAAAATTTGTCATAAATTGGTCACTTGGATGAAATTGGCTGAAGCTGTAATTAAGTGGATTCCAGAAACACTTCATCTGTTAAATCCCCACCAGTGTGAGGAACTGAGTTCCCTGAGTTCCCTTTGCCTTTTCCTGCTGGCAGACACTGTGTGTTTCTTCTTTCTCATGCAGCAGATAACCTGACAATAAAACCCCTGCTTTTCTTGTCACAAGTGTCAACACTGATGTCATTAAGGACATCGGCACGGCTTTCACAATGGCACTTGGGCTCCATCCAGTGGTTGGAAAGCTGTTTCCGTAGGAGGAAAAAAAAAAAAAAAAGCTGTAATTACTATTATTTATGCAATCTCAGCAGGGTACTAGGCCCCAAGTGGCAGCTGAAGTTCTTGGCTGGTCCCCTTTCCTCCCATACTGGGTCTAGAATAAGTAGCAGTGGGATTGCCTCTAGGCTATTCTTTTCTCTCTCAATAGAAACTAAAATAAATACAGATTATATTGCAAAGGGCCCTCTCAGTGAGAAAAACAGACTCTCCTGTCACTGCCTCGTACCATTTATTCACTGATCAGAGAGGAAGACCTCCAGAGTTTGCTTAGGCACTTACCCATAGCCCTCATCATGATCTAGATTTACAAAACGGTATTCCTAGTAGTGAAGACAACTGATGGACAGAGGGACTAGAAGTCCAAAGTATTCTCTGCAGTTCTGGAAATCTTATCAAGAAAAGGCAATGTTTTAATCTCTTGAGGGAATTTAAACATCTGACACTTGCAAATGCTATGGGAATTTATGATGAAATACTTCATCTTACTTTACGTGCAAATTGGTTTTAAAACTAACTAAATGCGGGAAATCTTTAAGGCTTCTCCTCTTGCCATCTTGCAGTAGCCTGAGACAGCACGAATGTGATGCAAAGAACCAGATGGATAATAAGAATATCTGCAAGTTTACCTAGGTATGACAAGAGCTGGGAAAGTAAGGGACTAGAGGAATCAAAGACAGGAAAAATAGAAACAGGCTGTTGATGAAATTCTTCTGTGCCAGATGGAAACACAAAGCAATTTCAAGCAATCATCTCACATCGATAAGTTCTAAGCTAGAAAGATACCAAAAAGAGCTTAAATTTCCCTGCAGAAAAAACAAGTGTGTAGCTGCAACGGGTTGAACCTGGCAGAAACAGAATCAAAGGGTTAGACTTCAAATGGGGAGAGAATAACTCACTATTTTACAAGTACCAGACTACTTCACAAATGGATGCAGAATCCCATCTGACCCACAGCATATTCACGCAACACAGAAAACCAAAATGCAGCCATTAGCTCCCTATTTCTAAGTAAAAATACACAGATTTTAACTGTCAGTTCTGAAAACAAAATTACTTGAAGTGGTGGAAACCCCAAGTGAGATCTCAGTCACACCAGTAAAACTGCTATATCTACACCAAATATGCCAATATAACAACATTATTCTAGTGTAACTTCACCTACCCTAGTGAAATCAGGGCACATTAACTTAATGGGCTTCCAAAGTGAGTCAAATTGGTAGAAAAGCTGCGGGGAGATAAGGCCTGAGAAAAGAGAAACAACAAAGCTACAGCAGCAGGGTATGACATCAGCCCATGACTCAGACTTTTCACATGGAGCTTTACTCTGGGATATGTCACCCAGACAGCCCTGGAGGCACCACCACTTCAGGCTGTTTTAACACAAGCAGAGGGAGGCAGTGGAGGAGAGAGAGAGCAGCTTGTGGACAATCTGCAGCTGAAGGAAAGAAATGACAGGGTACATTGCACAGAATGCTGGCCTGCCTACGATTTTGAGGAGTCCCCTTCCCCTCTTTAAATTTGTTCCATAAAAGCTCTTATTTCAGAACAAGAAATTACCATCGAGTGCTTTTTCTGCATGGCACACATCTTCATCCCAGGCCCCACTGTGCATAGTCTGGCAGGTAGAAAAGTCTACACCCTTCTCTCTATCTCCTGTTCAGCTCCTACAACTGAGCTGGGCCCAACCTGGGAGGAGACCTTTTAGGCCAACCCCCTGCTGTATCTGTCAACCATGCACTTGGGATGCTGGAGAGAGATCACTGATGACACTGGCTCCAAATCTATCCGATATGGAAATGGTTTTCCAAAATGGCTACTGCAAAGTATAGACCAGCTGTCTCACTTCCTTAGAAATACTGGATATGTAACAGGTCTTCAGATATCCCACCCCATTATCAGGAGGCCAGGAAAAAAAAAGCCTTGCCATAAATCAGAGTGCCTCCAAGGCAGACGACCATTCACCCTTATTAGTGACCTTAACATATATTCATATCACTTCATGGCTGAGCCCTTCAGCTTTGTGAACAGGCAGGGTAATGTAAGCATAACTTTATAGCTCTCAGTGAAAAGCTTGTAATGAAGTCTAACTTATGCCGTAGTTCTGATACCCAGTTTGTTACCATGATGTGATATATCCTAAGTTGTCCCTTACAACTACCAGGCTTCTCAACCTGCAGTCCCCAATCTGTACCCTTTGTACGTATGTATAATTTATATACTTTCTTCTGCCAGCTCTTCTCTCTGATCATCTATTTCCATTATAACATAATCCCCTCGCACACATAAACAAATTTCACCTTTGTTGGGAGGGCTGATCACTAAATCCTAAACTCTTCCGCGTGTACTTTAAGTAGCACACTGCTGTGTGTCCTTCTCATAGAAAGGATTCATGCAGACAAACCACCCCTACAGACCCTGTATTTAATATGCTTTTTATGCTCTTTTTGTTCTGATTCCTTAAAGTTACTGTAGACATAAGGGAATTGCTGCTTCCAACAGGGAAGGGCTGACACTCCTGAGCTCAGTCAGGTCAATTCATAAAGAGCATCAGCCAGGTAAGCCAAGCAAGAGCAACACTTTGGATGATCAAAAGTAGTTGCTACAGAACAAGGATATTACAGACAGGCAGTCTATAAAGATCCAGAAAAACTGTTTCAATGCCTGTGACAGCAACGCCCAACTAGTGATGTGCAGTTAATCCCCACAGAAACCCCCTCAATAAGGAAAAATGCAGGTACTCACTTGCTAGACGCCGGCGCGGGATCATCTGCCCAGCCTCCTTGCCGGCGTGGGGGTTTGGGTGGTGGCACCTTTAATACAGAGATGAGAGAGGTTACAGCTAGCTGCAACCAAACCAAAGTCAAGCCAGTTCAGATACACTGGTGTGAGCAGACAGGGTAACAATTTATTTGATAAGAGACTGAGAGGCAGTTTAAAAGGGTATTTCACAAAATAGTATTTCATAAAATACCATTCTAAAGTAAACCTTCAAACTAAAAGGAAGGTTAATATCGCAGGATATGCTTTAAAGCATCTTTGTGAGCTCAGGATGCATCGCCCAACTATCATGACCACTTTCAGGTCTGTAAGCACTTGACCTGCCCAAGACGCAGCGAGTGCAGGCGCAGACTGACTGGTACGTGTGTGTCAGGCTGGCAAAGCTGGTTTCACCATGAACTTGGCTGCTCCTGCTACCCACACTCAGCTTGTGGCATCCCACGCTGCACGTCTCCTAGGGCTCAGTCAGCTCCCCTATTTTGGACATTGTATTTTAGGTGAGGAATCGCTCCCTAGAAGCGCCTGCTTTACTCCACTGAAAAAATAGGAAATTAGAGCTCTGAAGCTAAGTGAGATGAATACATGGGCACACACACACAGAGAACTGCTAAAGGGGGAGATCATTTGGACATTACAGAAGACACCATCTTCTGCTTTCTAGAGCTCTCCTGTGCAGTACTCTGCTGCACAGCAAGAGGAAACAAGAATCCAGCTTGGGACTCATGATGGGAATTTCCAAAGATGGGAGTGAGATGGATCTCACTGGATAGGAGATGTCCATTTTTTCACCATTCAGGGTTCAGCCTGCCTGAAACACCTCACACAACCCTGGCTTAGGTATTTTCCAGGACAGGCACTAGCGGAAAGCAAAGGAACAAGAGGAATCAGCAAAAGGATTTCAAATGATGGCTCCAAAATGACGGTGCCCAGTGAGAAAAGGGAGCTACAGGCATCTGTGAAGGGACCAGCTCAAGAAGATTGGTTAAAACAGCATCACAGAAGGAGGAAAGCATGGGACAAATGAGAAAGGAGCCTCGGCTGCAGCAGTGGAGGGGTGACGTGTGGTTCCCCAAGCTTCCACTGAGGAAGGGAAGGGGCTGGTGAATCCTGAGGGCTTCTGGCTTCACAGAGGGGAGACTTCATACGTGTGGGGTCAATGCCGAGGCAAGGCCAAATCATTTCTTGCCACAGATGAGGAAGAGGTAGAGCTAACCCCCATGGCAGGGGTCCCCGTGTTTATTTCTCGAGGCAGAGCATTGTTTGCGAGTGTGGGAAATGCAGGGAGCCTGCCAGGGAGGGGGCACGACCCCGCATAGCTCCTTGATAGCAGCAAAAATAGTCATTCTCCAAAAATAAACAGGGAGCAGGAATGAGGCAGGAGCTGCAGTCCCAAAATACCAGCTTTCTTCAGCAAAGGGAGCACAGGAGGGCAGAGGGACAGGCAGGGAGCACGAAAGGCAGGAAACATCCTCCTTATATGGGCTCATCCGCAGGGGACAGAGCTCAGTCGACTGGAATGACCATGTCACAGAATGCGAGGCCTTCGGGGGCCCAAGTGAATGGAGTTTTCTGATCTTTAAATGATTCCCCCAGATTCTTCAGATGCCAAACCAGGGAAGAGGCTATAGTGCCAAAAAAGGAGCATTTTGAATTCAGTTCATCTGGACACACCCAGAGTCCAGAAAAAAAGGGGGGAAAAAAACCACACCACATATGGGCATGCGTGCCCACATAAACATCCCTATTCCCATTACACACCCCTACCTCAAAAACCCACTGCTTCCCACTCTGATCCTTCCCAGTGCAAACAGCCCTCCGGGCATCACTCCGTGCCATGGAGAGCCAGCCGGCCACGTTCCCAACACATCCTTACAGCTCCTCAGACAACTAGCAAGGTCACATAGGTACCCCGAGCTACACACATGTCACCAAACAGCCTGGGGCATCAGGCTGATGGAAAATGCAGCATCTCCTGCTGCTGTTGCAGCTAGGACATACCAATGTGCCTGTGATCCAATTCCCTCCTCATCAAAGCTAGGCTTCAGATCCAAGAGAGCCCACGTCAGGCACTCAGATCGGAGGGTGCCGGGAAGGTCTGTGCCAGCCTTTGCACAGGACAGGCTGGCACTGTGTTTAGGGGTTCGATCCCACTATCGCCCTGTGTGTGCAGAGGGGTTGGACTAGATGATCTCTAAATGTTCCTTCCAACCTTAAGGATTCTATGAATATCTTACCAGTATTTTACAACTTCTTCCCATTGATCATATACACCAATGTACGTTGCTGTATATGAATGTCAGACCCTGATGAGTATTTCGCATCTACCTACAGGCCTTTTAATCCTTTCGCAATACACTGGGTAATTCTTTCTTACCTGCCTACAGGAGGACCAGCAACAGGAAAGGCAGTGTTAGCTCTCAGCAGAGGATAAATGGCTTTTCTTTATTAGTTGCCTGGAAAGTGCCATAAAAAGGTCACAAACCCCATGCACTTTTGTCAAGTAAACTAACTTAGCTTCATATACTTTCACATTTCCAAAACCTCAGCATAATTTACAGCTGAGAATCACCGTAATGTGGTCATGGCTAGTGATGCTGCAGCTGCGAGCAAGAGCTTGAAGTACAGAGTGAAAACATCAGCCTCAGAGGGAGCAGAGCACAACTGGGAGAGGAGGTTGTGTAGCAGAGCAACCGCTCAACACACCATTCTGGTGAAAGACTGGGGACTTTGCACCATCAGAAGCTGCTGGCACCCTGTGATACAACTTTTCTTCTGTATGTTTTCCAAAATATGCAGCTGCACACTCAAAGTGATTGAGTTTTCAAAATGCTGAGAATCTACTAGCTCCTGACAGCACTGTCCCCCCTCAACTCCTGCTGCTCTTACAGAAGAATTCAGCCTTTCTTAGCATTGCCCAACTGCTTATTGCTGTGGTTTGCCTTTGTGCTCAACTCTGCCAGTTATTTATCTACAGAAGCTTTCCCCTACCTAAGTTTCTGCAGAAGGTCCTCTCTTCAGGCACACTGCCTCAGTCGGAACCTTGTATTTTTTCTTCAGGAGTACAATATGCCATTTTTATGAAGGCATTTTTCCATTATTCCCCAAGGCCTTCTTCCTCATCGATACTTCTATACTACCACTATAGTTGGTATTTTATTCTTTCTCTGAAACACTACTAGCCTTGTTCAGTGAACGCAAATTCCGTCTCTCCTGAACTCAGGTGGGAACTCTACCCTCCTCTTTATCTGTAGTCAGGTCCTCCTTACCCCACAGACATAGAGCTGGATTCTAATTTGAATTTCCCATTAAGGCTGAATGTGTCAGATCACATCCCTAAAGCTGCAGTTTTGAAGATGCCAGATGGATATTGGATATTCTCTCATGGAAGCACCTGTGTCTCTCTGAATCCTGAGAATCCAAAGTTTCTGTCAATGCCTACCATGACCCAAGCAGATTGTGGAGCCATTGGGTCCCTCCAATAAACAGATTTGCAAAGCTCAATTCCCCAGTCTAGGCTTGTTGTCAAGAGCAGCCCAACTCTACCTGCCATCTTAACAAGGACCACAGATGGTAAAGCAGTGCTTAATAAATCCTCTCCCAGGATCTACGGGTCTCTTAAGCACCTAATATTCTAGACCCCCTAGATTTCTGTTTCTTCCACTGTCCTTTCTTCTTAGTCACTGACCTGCCTTTATTAGGGAAATGCCTACTGAGACAAAAAGTTCTTGTGGGGCTACAAATGAGTTGTCATCTATCACGTTGCATGAGAGAGCAGCTTATACTGTAAAGCAGCTATCGGGACTTTCATCCCTTCAAACAATGGTCAGCCCCAGTTAAAAGGTCAGCTTAAATATGTGCCTGCCAGGAAAACTACCACATTGCAGCATTTGGCACCTTATCCTGCCTCCAGATTTATGGTTCTCCCTGCACGAGAGCAGTGAGGCACCACACAACAATTTGACCCTCCCAGCAAGGGGTTACCTGGCAGTTTTACTCTCAAACACTTGGTTTCTCCCAGGGGATACATGCTGACAAATATTTTCCCAGTCTTCTACACTGCTCTTTTTTTCTGGGTTCAGGTGGGCCTAGGAGCACTCAAAAGTATGAAATAAGAAAGAAGAGAAGAGAAGAGAAGAGAAGAGAAGAGAAGAGAAGAGAAGAGAAGAGAAGAGAAGAGAAGAGAAGAGAAGAGAAGAGAAGAGAAGAGAAGNGAGAAGAGAAGAGAAGAGAAGAGAAGAGAAGAGAAGAGAAGAGAAGAGAAGAGAAGAGAAGAGAAGAGAAGAGAAGAGAAGAGAAGAGAAGAGAAAAGGAGTTGTAAATAAAATTATTTCCCATGGGATTCCCAGTGTTGGTTTCCAATCCACACCAAATTAGTCAAGCAGGGAGGACACCACTAGAAAGGCTGAAAAATATGGCTGATTAGAAATGCTATTTGCTAAGAATGAGAAAAGATGTCATCAAAATGCCAGCAGATAACCTTAGAAAGCTGAAAATAGCTGCCCTGCTGGCCAGGCACTTGGGGTGCCCAGGGGAAAGGCAGTGCAAGGCCTTGGGGAGCCCAGGCCGTGCAGAGCTGGGGCTCACGCTTGGGAAGTTGGCCTAATTAGGGAACGAAAGTTCAGCCGCATTTTTGAGATTCCTCCTGGAGAATGTGGCCAACTTCCAGCCAAGCGCTCCCCGGGAACGGGCTAAGAGTCCAGCAAGCACTTCTACAGGCAACCAGAAGACCACTGAAGAAAACAGAAGCAACTCCATGGATGGGAAATAGGTGCAATGTCTGTTACCTCAGGTGTTGGCTCCCTGCGGGGAGGACGTTTACTAGCACAGCGCAAGAATCCAAACAGATTATGGAGGCTCTGTAATACTGAAGGACAAATTCATCCCAGGACAAACACGCAGATGGGAGGGCACCCGCAACGGCTACAGGGAATTCTCGGAGAACTCTCCCAGGTCCTCAGAAGTGCCGCTCGCTTCAAGAGCCATCTCCTGCCAGTCCAGCCTAGGCCCAGAACATGCCTAAGAAGGCAAAACC